TGAGCTGCAAAAGCGGTCCTATGTAGTGGCGTACTTGCGCATCTCATACGGGAAGGAACCTACCTTCCAGAGTATCGCAAATATGTCTTAAACGCTGGAACGCTGCAGTAAATCAAGCAGTTAACTCGGGAACTATACTGCTAAATTCTGTACATCGCCGCAACGTGGATGTCTCACACCCAAACGAGCGTTTTACCCTGGTTGGCTTGCTTCTCGTAGGTGAACGGCTACTGTCGCCTGTAACGACTGGGAGTGAAAAAAGGATCCTGGGATAATGTTCAACGACACCTACCATCGTCCTGCTCACTTAAGATGAGGTCTTGTAATAGATCACGTAACTGAAAAGTCATTTTCAACATTATATCCCACAATTTGGCGCTGGTGCAGCACCGGTACGTGGTCCAGTACGTGAAGAGAAGACGTGTCCCTGACGTAATTCTAGCCGTCTGGCAAGGATTCAGTACAGGAATTCTCGTCACTAACAGGTTAAAGGACACACCACCTTATAGCCCTCAAAGCAGTGGGCACGATGGGTGGGGGTGGGTAGTTGCTGCCAGCGTCATTGGTGGAGGGACTGCTAGAGGGCCACACTCCTTTCGGCCCTTCCACCAATGACAGACCTGTTGGAAGGGGTGAAAGGAGCGTGGCCAAACGCCCTCTCGCAGCCCCTCCAATAATGTTGGCGACAACCGCCCGTCGTCAGCAATCGTGCCTACTGGCTTTACCGGCTGGTGTCCCTGTGCTACCCTTTCACCCAAGACTTCTTCTGAATTGGATCTAATTTCTCACCGATGTTTCGTGGTAGCGCAGAAATAGCATGATCCCAGTGACAACGAAGATTCCAGCGACCACCATCATCATAGTTCTTTGGCGATTTGCTTCAGATGCCGAAGTTTGGTTTGACATGGTATGAAATGAACCACAACTTGAGGCCGCTTGTTTTGCCTACATTGCCCACGGATAAGGTCTGTTGACTTCAGCCTGGATGCTTTCATTCAGGATAAGACCGGTCAATCGCAGAAGAACTTATACCCATCTATCAGACTTCGCGTCGAATGCGCCCCAAGGTTTAACACGACACATGCCAGCACGCCTTTTTGTCAGCGATGAACTAGATGTACCGATTTCCACAAGAAACTAGCGGTAGGAGCGCTAGAAGCAGTCCTCGGAACCGACCTTGTTGATGAGCGACCAAACAAACGCGTGCCACTAATGGGGAAATCGCTCGTGCCGGGCGAGTAATGAGGTCGCCTAGCTGCCTGTACTGCCAATCGCTTGCGATTGGCCGCCTTTACGGGACTACCTGAGCATTCGGCCACTATCCTAAAGGGTGGAGTGCACATGGATGGGGTAAGATCGCGTTCTTTCAGCGCGATCTGGTCACGCGAGCGACTTGCTCCGGGACGGTTCACAGCTTCTCTGTGACTCCTGTGCATCCCAAGAGTAGGCCAACTCTGCTCCTCTGCACGCTTGTGACCACTCCTACACCACTAGGTTTGAAAACGTGAGGCAGCGTTTACAGTTCGCGATGACGCGCGTCGACGCGCTGCAAAAGTAACAGTGCTCCAATCCTGTAGACGCAGCCGCAGACAGGAATCGATCGGCACCGGTCGCTGGTATATTGAGAGAGTATGGGGGAATAGGAGAGTAGACATTGCTAAATCACGCAGTCTGGAATCGACTGCCGCTGGCACTGGGGCTTCGGGGAGACGGACAAGAAAGTCGTAATTTGCCGCTCCGCCGCGCGCGGCCACGGGTGCGGTGTTTTCTTGATTCGTATTACACTGTCGATTGGAGCACAGCTTTTCACGTGGGCTACGAAAGTAGACATTTATGACTACGTTCGGTTCCACGTTGCCCGTTGCCGCCATCTACGACCTGGAACCATCGTCATTTGCTAGTGCGACGTCGCGCGTGACACCCACCAGCGCGGCGGAACGGCCTCTTGTGCCCGGGCTTTGGGAGAGTAACAGATTGTGTGAAAGAAGCACCTGTTTATTTTTATTCATGCTCTCTCGAAACACAAGGATCCGGCGCCAGTTGATTCAGTCTGCGGCTGCGTTCGTGTCTATAAGATTGGAGCGCCCTTGCAGCGGTGGCGCGTCGCCCTCGAACTTTGAAGCTGCATGGCTTGGGAGGCAACAGCGCGTCGCGCAGTGCTTTTGACATGCAGGGATGCGGCTTCCGCGGTCGCTCTGTAGGAGTAGCGAAGCCTACACTCCCCTTTGGAGCGCATTCTCCCGACTTGCCGCTTCTCCTTATTCTCCCAAGTACTAAAATCATGCATGGGCGAGGGGAGGGAATGGCCCAAGACTGAGCTTGCGGAGCGGAACGTACCACCATCTCGGTAAGAGCGTCCAAAGAAGCGAGCTACATTGCTTCCTCATCCCCCCGACTACAGTCGGCTATCGTGGGTTTAGGATCGTTACGGTCGGAAGCGTCAAATCAGAAATATGGGCCGCAATTGCTACCCATATTCATACCTGTCTACTTTTGCCCATAGTTGTGCTTTACAGGAACCAACGGGAACCAGGTGAGCGCTTATCTATCAAGTGATACCGTAGTGATAATCTCAAATTTAGCCCCCGAAGGCCAATTTTTTTTGGCTGTGGAAATCGTGGCGATGTTTTCATGGACTGGGAGACATGTAAAGTTCGGTCGAAGCATGTCAGTTATCATTTCCGCCGGTGAAATTTTCCAGGTGAGGTTCATTCCTTTATTTGTGCTTTTAAAGCTTTTCGTTCCGGTCGTTCGGTCTGTGAAGACATCTGGCTGTTGGTGGTCCGTTGTTTTGTTTCTTTCAGTCTTATGTTTTTGTTCTAGGAAAAATACGATTTTTCCTGCTACAGCACCAAACGATGGGGTTCTCCGATGAAGGAAGATGCTTGGAGGTTAGTTGGGCAATTTCCTGCTTTTCCTTGGTATCCCATTTGATACTTTTGCACGGGTTTCTCTCATTTCATTTGGGCTGAATTCGGAGCAGAGAACCCTTAACGATGAGTGGGTGCATCTGCAAAAGTATGTATTTCACTTTTTCTCATGATGTGACTAGGACTTTTGGGATACGTTGAGGTTAAAACCGTGATCTGCTTCTATTGTTAAATTTTGGCATTCCGTTTTCAACCTCCTGAATCTGCAGTTTCTGGTTTGCTGCGGGCGATGGGGCGTACCTGCGCGACTGCCTTTGGCATAGCCAAATCTATTCGCCACCAGTTGATGAGGTCCTGTCGCTTGCCGAAAAAAAAAAACCGGCTGGTGCTGAGCTACATGCAACCGTGCGGACACACCCCATCATCAGCAGCGAACCAAACCACATATCCTCATGTTTCAGTCCAAACCAGGAATGTGATCAGCTCTGACGATTTTCGCGGTCTAAAAGATTCTCCAAAGACTACTGTCAGTGGGCGGGCCAGAGGTAAGCAAATTCGTTCTCGTTTCACTCGTTAGACCGCTTCGGAAGTGATTGTTCCTCGAAATGAAGGGATATTTGTTTTGCACATGCCTCAGAGTGAGTTCATAATAACCTGCGACACTCGATCATCTGAGAATCGACACTAGGCCGCGTTCATTCCTTGCGACTGTTGAACTGAAGAACGGCAGGAATACAGGCTGAAGAACGGCAGGAATACAGAATTGGCGAATTACGGAAACAAATAGATGCGTAGCTTATCCATTTCGTCAATTCGACATTTCATCATTTCTTCAACTTTCAGTGAATGCTTATGGTGCAAGCTATGAACCCTGCCGTATTAGCAGAATCGAGGAATCCTCGAAAACGGTACACATTAGAATAAGGACAGTCGGGGATTCGCACGGCCTAGTGAACAGGGCACATTACTGTCGTTGGGAAAAATTCTTGCAAAATACGACATCCCTCCCCCTCTTTTCCCCGACCAAACACCCTTCTCGTGGGGGATCCAGTACGATCTGGTGCAGCGTGGTTTGGTTGTTCCTTAGTGCAAAGTAGAACATTTTAAATTCGCACACTCGTTCAGCCTTCATATGCACAGAAAATGTCGCAAGTTTGTTACCTGTTAGGAGTTACGGGATGACGGGGTGTGGAGCGTTACTTCCAAGTCGCGGCACACCGGTAGAGTACTTGCTAGCTAGTTGACTTGAGAGACGAAGAGGCAGAGAGAAGTCAAGAGAGTGGACGCGTCGCAGCGCTGCTACGTTGAGTGGATTGGGTATTGGTGCAAATTCTGAGTACATCATTATTGCAATGCCTATTTCGCCCCATTCGCCGCACTGCAGATATGCTTCTCAGTCCTCCTCATGTTAGGCCGCGTTCATAGCTTGCGACCATGAAGAAAGTGAAGAAAGTGCCGAAAGTGAAGAAGTGCTGCGAAAGTGCGGAAAGTGAAGAAAAGCAATAGATACGTATCGATTTGAAGAAAGTGAAGAAATGCCGAAAGTGCGGAATCTGAAGAAATGCCGAATGTGAAGAAAAGCAATAGATATGTATCGATTTGAAAGAAATTTGCGGAAAGTGCGGAATCTGCAGAAAGTGCGGAAAGTGCGGAATCTGCAGAAAGTGAAGAAAAGCATTAGATACGTATCGATTTGAAGAAAGTACGGAAAGTGCGGAAGGTGCGGAAAGTCAAATCGATACATATCTATTGCTTTTCTTCACATTCGGCATTTCTGCAGATTCCGCACTTTCGCACTTTCGGCACTTCTTCACTTTCTTCATGGTCGCAAGCTATGAACGCGGCCTTAAGGGAAATGGGATGTAAAATTAGAGAGAATTATAAGAGCGACGTATCGCCATATTGAATTACAAGATTCTAATTTTAGGGTCGCAGAATGGTTCGAACAAAAGAGATCACAGTCAAATCAGTGACAGCCAGCTGGAAGAAGACCACCTATTCCAAGAACGAGCCTATGAGCGTGAAAAAATGAGGGACGAAGAATTACTGTCTTACAAAGATTGGCATCGCACGAATAAAGCAGCCGACTCCGAGAGAATGCGCCGACAAAGAAAACTGTAAGTGGCATGAGTAATTCATGGTTGCTTTGCATAATCGGTCATGCTGCAAGGTATGAATGTGAAATAATCTCACATGAGATCATTAGCGAAACGCAGCTGAGTTAGCCACTGAGCTAACGCATGCGTAGTTGTCACTAATTGAGAATAGTTCTTTTTTGAAGGCCGCATTTTCAGTTTCTGCCCCAGGTACAGTTTACTAGGGTTGGAACTTAACATGGCTTAGCTACATTAAAGTATCCTAGCGAGGGCGCGACTATAATATCTGCTTGTCTGTGCCCATCGCTAAGCAGAGCAAAGTGTATGAACCTGTTCTGAGGGTTTAAAAAGGCGTGCTATGTCAAAGCAACTTAGTCAAGACTTGATGTGAGAGGGCTGTGTGACCCCCTCATCTAGAATTACCCCAATTTTGCTATACGACTAATGGTTTGAATTTCTAGAAGCGTGAACAAGATGAGCAGAAAGCGATGGAAGCGGCTCGTTGCTTTGCAGAACCGATTCGACGAAAGGCGCCATTACCAAAGAAATTAGTTAGCCTTTAGCTAGTTATAAGAACGTTACTGGAATCCAATCATTTGTTATTTCTGAGTTGTCACATTTACTATTCGTTTTGTTTTGTACTGTCTAAAGTTTGAAATTGATTTAAATGAAGTTTTACGAGTTTTAAGTGTTCTGATAGGTTGGCGTTGAACGCGAGGCGATACTGACTTAATTAAAGGAAGTCTTAAGTTCATAAAGGTTCCACCATAGGTCTGCAAGTCCGTTCGCGGCACCGGTCTGTCAGTGGGTTCACTAGTTACTGTATCGAAGACGCTGTCGATTGAGAGTACGATTCCTAATCTTAGATGTTCTTCAAAGCTGCTAACTTGAAAGAAAAGTAAGGTGGGTTGGTATTTGGCAGGAGTTTTCCACGGAACGATGGATTCGGCTTCTCGCGCGATTACCACATTGGAAGAATCCTTCCCTCATACAAGACACCTAGTCCGTCATTTGCGAAGATTGCCACTTCCGTGTTTCGAAAGTGAGCGACAAGTTCGCCGAGGTAATCGTTTCCCAAGTAGCTCCACCCACGTGCTCGGGCATCGCGGTCATTTCTATGTGGGGCGGTGTCTACCGTCTCGCTCTTAGTTCTGTTCGCTCATGTTCTCTGAGCTCGTATTTGAGCCAGCTGCCAATGATCTTCAATCGCCAGTTTGTCGGCGTAGGTGCACTAGGTGCGCGGCCAAGTCAGACACGATCGAAGCGCAGTTCAACCTTTTCTCCTCTACTGATAGTTTCTTTTGCGGTTTCATGTTAGAATACGGTCTGTTTGCTGTGTTACAACTACATTTTGTAGGGGGGCGAGGCATAATTAACGAGGTGTGACCGTACCGTTTCATACTGGCCCAGCCACTACGACCCTAAGAATGCGCAGTATCTCGAAAAGATAGTGAAGAAGAGCTGACACTTCCTGTTTATCCTTCAGCTCGCATACTGGGGCGTGTCAAGGGGCTGGCGCGGCGCCCGCCCGTTAAACCTAATTTTCGCTCCCGCTTGAACATTGGTGGAGAACGGGCTGGTGCCGCACCAAACCCAACCTTCCCGACATGTCCCAGCTTCCGCAGCGAACATGACTGTAACAGCTCATTGAGCGGACGCAGACGTGTAGAAAACGGGCATGGCTCGGACTCGATGCTGACAATGCCTCCTCTTCCCCATTAGTTTAGCAATCAATTTATTCCTTTTTTTCTAAATGGAAACATGTTCAGTACAAAACACAGATATAATTTGATCATTTATTCATGGGCATTTTTCAAACGTATTTCAATGAATTCTT